GCACTCTGTCCACCAAATCAAGTTCCTTAAATCTGTTCTTCACTTCCACTGTGTATTCATAAGGGATTTGGTACTTTAGATTATATCTGACTAGCCCAGTGGTTTTTCCTACTTTCTTCAGTTTAAGCTTCTGTTTTGCTATATTTATTATTATTTTTATTTATATCCCGCCTATCTGGTCGGTTAAGACCACTCTAGGTGGCTATAAGAAGCTGATAATTAGAGCAGCAATTGGCTACAGGTCTTGTTTTTGCTGACTGTATAGAGCTTCATGAGAACGACCATGCATATCGATAATTTGTAAAATTTCTTGATTCCAAGATAAAATTGTCCTATTGTTAAAACTTAGCATCTCTTTAAAAGCAGCCGGTACTAGATCCGACCCAATCCCCTTTTTCAATTTCAGCCAGAATTTCATAGCATGGGTGTGTACAATAGCCTTCATAGTGTGAAGGCCTGCTTCCAACCAGAGAATACAAGTCTCAGTTCCTTTAGGGAGGGCTAGGATAGCCCACAGATATTTATTATGGGTTGTTTCTAGGTACATTTTCTGGGTGGACTCCCATATTTCAGCACCGTAGCATACCTGTGATATAACTTTGGCCTCGTAGATTTTAAGAGCAGGTGGGAACTGCCTGCCACCTCTGCCCCAATAGAACCTTAATAGTGGTTAATAGTGTTGGTGTCAATTCTATTGGTATTCTCTAGGTGGGTTTTCCAGGAGCCAGATGAGACGTTTAGTCCTAGATATTTAAAGGACTTCACTTGTTCTATAGGGTGGCCATCAATCTACCATACATGATTTTTAAACCTATTGGCAAATACTAGTATTTTAGTTTTTCCATAATTAATTTTCAGTTTTTCTTGTGTTGCCAGGATTAAAAGCTTTCAGCAGCCTCCTTAGCTCTTGTTGTGTTTGTGATAATAAAACAGTGTCATCAGCATACATAAGTACTGTTAATTTTCTAGATCCCAGTTTGGGAAGTACATTGTTATCATTGTTGCTCAACCTAGCAATTAATGAGTTGACGTAAATATTAAACAGAGATGGAGCTAACAAACATCCTTGATGGATACCTCGTGTAGTTGGTATTATAACTGATAATAAACCTGAGCGATCCATCCTGACCTGAGTCTTTGTGTCGGAGTGGAGACTGTTAATTTTCTAGATCCCAGTTTGGGAAGTACATTGTTATCATTGTTGCTCAACCTAGCAATTAATGAGTTGACGTAAATATTAAACAGAGATGGAGCTAACAAACATCCTTGATGGATACCTCGTGTAGTTGGTATTATAACTGATAATAAACCTGAGCGATCCATCCTGACCTGAGTCTTTGTGTCGGAGTGGAGCTCTTGGATCAACATCAACAAACCTTTATACACGTTTTGCTTAATTTGCCCCAGAGACGATCTCGGCTTATAGAATCAAAGCTGCTCTGAAATCAATAAATGCTACATATAGACACTTATGTTTTAGTTTTACATACTTACATACTAAGTGAGACAAAACACAACAGTGATCTGTTGTTGAGGGATTACATCGAAAGCCTGCCTGCTGTTCTGCAATCATTTCACTAGACTCAAGCCAAGAATTTAAATTTTTGCCAGATATTTAGTATATATTTTTGATGAGATATCCAGCAAACTAATAGGGCAAAAATTGGCTGGATTGCTTGGTTCACCTTTTTAGTATAGGGACCACTATATTGATGTTCCATTGTGAGGGAAAATAACCACTCTCATTAATTTCTGTAAATAAAGTTGGAAAGATAGAAGCCCACCAGTGGGCTTCACCCACAATTCTGTCCTTACCAAGTGCCTTTTCATTCTTTAGAGTAGCAATTACTTCATAGATTTCACTGGGGTGACAGGGTCCCATACTGGCGAAACGTTAGGAAGAACAACCTTCCGAACACAGCCAAAGAGCCCGAAAAACCCACAACAACCATTAGGGTCCCATACTGGTGCCACAATTTAATTTACATTCTGAAAAGTAGTAGATGTCATTGTCATAGTAGTAGCAGTAGTAGTTCCCCAAAGAAGCCAACACAAACTAGTTTGTCTGCAAAATGTGAGCATTCTTTTTTAAAATAATAAGAAAACAAAATCAATGTCAAATAAATATACTGTAAATAGTCCCTGCACTGCTTCACTACTGCTAGAGTTTTGGGGAAAGACTGTACAAGATTCTGTAAACTGCTGCAGGAACTTACTATTAATAGATGTTATGAGCAAAATAAAAGGCTCCACTGAAATCGCTGTTTAGCGAAATCATTGTCTAGCAAAAAGCATTTCCCCATTGGAATACATTGAAACCTGTTTAATGCATTCCAATGGGGAAGAATCGTCGTTGTCTAGCGAAGATCGGCCATAGGAAAGTCGCTTTGCGAACCACCGATCAGCTGTTTAAATCACTGTCTTGCAAAGCTTAGGTCTCGAAAACCCCCGTTTTGCGAGCATGTAGGGAGCCGTCAAAATCGTCATCTAGCGAAAATCGGTTTGCAAAGCAGGGACCAAACATTGTCCAGCGAAATTCCCTCATAGGAACCACTGTTTTGCGAATCGCTATAGCGATTGCAAAAAGTCAATGTCTAGTGAAAAAACTGTCATGCGGGGTAACTGTCTAGCGAGGCACCACTGTATTCATTTCTCATTGGCATGGCTCAAGATAGTGGAAACAAACAGGAAAAGCAGAATGGCACACTTACTTCAAGAACGGTCCACTGTTCTACAACAATGGCATCATAGCCTTGTATATTTTTGCTGTCATCCACAGAAAGTTCTTCAAAGATGAACAGTCCATCTGTCATGCCCTGGAAGGAATCTGTGTAGAAACAAATTATTTCTGTAAGCTACAGATTTAGATATCCTCTCTGGAAGAAGTTTTGAAGTCTGTATGCTGTTTATCACAATCCAAATTTCTAACAGAACTGGTAGATATCTGATGCAGACTTGCACTGTCAGAAATCGTTATGACAGCTTGTACAGCAGAACCCCTGTATCCACTGGGGATTGGTTCCAAGCCCTCAGTCAGAAGCTGAAAAATGCAGAACGCTGTTTTAATAGTGAACACTATACAGTACATGGTCTCTGCCTCCATCTAGTGGCCAGTTCTGGTAATGACACCATAGAAATCTATTTCTCAGTAAGTGCTATACTCACCACTGTCTCTGGTTCCCTCTAGTGGCCAGTTTTGCTAACTTCATTATATATATATTATAGATATAGACCATGGATGAATCAGAATAGATCCTGACCGTGAGGATAAAGGGGTCACATTGTATTTACATGCATTCTCAAAACAAGATCTGTGCATGTAGGCACCTGTGTATCCTGGGGCTTGAGCCGCTCCTCCTCTCTCCCTTCACTAATATTTCTGACACTTAAGAAGCAGCGGCAATAGTTTTGTTTCTAGGTGCAGGCCTTTTGCGTTTAAATGAAAGACAAAATCATGGAAGAGGCGTCATATAATTCATGTTTATGACTCTGGTTCACATGAACGTTTTGTGTTTCTTCCGTGTTTCCTACTTTGTCTAACCTTTAAGTACACATGCATCTTTTTTCTGTCAAACTGTCTGAGAACTTTTTCATCAAATAGTGTTGCAAGGGCTGTCAGCATCAGCAGCAAATCAGAATGTGGAGGGAATGGGACTTTTGAATCTACATAAGGGTCTGGAACCCAGTGAGCTCTTTGCTTCAGTTGTTACTCCATGCTGGTGCACTTGGTAGGAAGGAGAGAAATCTCCCCATGTTCAAAAAGTTTTGTTTGGGAGGGGAGTATAGATGGGGATAAATGTTTAAAAATGGCAATTTGTTTTGATCTATTATTCGTCAAGGTTAACGGATCAACAAATACAAATATACGAATATTCTTCGATGAATCAACAGATCAATCTGTCGATTTATCTGCACTTTAAACAGCTATAACGCTGGCCCCCAACGACCTAGAGGCACCAAATCTGCAGGGAAGCTTCCTCAGACATGTTTCTACAACTCCTGAAAGTTTGGTGAACATTGTTGGGTCACGGACTGCCGAGTTATGTAGTCACAAAGAGGACCCCCCAGGAAAGATTCCCCACAGGTACTTAGAGACTCCAGAATCACAACTGAGTTTCCTATGTACGATGACTTGTTGAGGGAGGCCGACAGGGGTAAGACGTCTTTGTTGGTCCTCCTCGACATCTCAGCGGCCTTCGATACCGTCGACCACAGTATCCTCCTGGGGAGGATCTCCGAGTCATGTATCGGAGGCCTGGCTTTGGCCTGGTTCCACTCCATCTTGGAGGACCGCCCCCAGAGAGTGCAGCTAGGTGAGAGTGTTTCGGCCCCGTGGAGCCTCAAATGTGGGGTTCCACAGGGGTCGGCTATCTCCCCAATGCTGTTTAACATCTATATGAGGCCATTGGGTGGGGTCATCAGGGGGTGTGGAGCATCATGTCATCAGTACGCTGATGACACCCAGCTCTACATCTCCTTTGTACCAACTGCAGGTGATGCCGTCCTGTCCCTTCAGCGCTGCCTGGACGCTGTACTGCAATGGATGCAGGAGAACGGGCTGCGGCTGAACCCGGACAAGACGGAAGTCCTGAGGGTGGGTGCCCCTGTTGTGGGCGGCCTGGGTGACTCTCATTTGGGGGGGGTGGCCCTGGCCGGGAAGAGTGGGGTTCGCAGCCTGGGGTACACCTGGACCCGACGCTCACCATGGAAACGCAGGTGGCGTCGGTTGTCCACACCGCCTTTTTTCATCTTTGGCAGATTGCCTGGCTGGATCCTTACCTAGACATGGGGGCACTCACTACCTTAGTACATGCACTTGTAATCTCTAGATTAGACCATTGCAACTAGCTCTACGTGGGGCTCCCTTTGAAGCTGACGCGGAAACTTCAGGTGGTGCAGAATGTGGCGGCCAGACTCCTCACTGTGACAGGCCTATAATTGCCAATGTCATCCACCGCCAAACTTGGTTTCTTCGTAATGGGCCTAATGAGTGTCACCTTGCCCTCCCAGAGAGACCCATTAATTATTGCAGTGGCCCATTTGGTTGTTATAGGGCTGGTTGCTTTGATTAACCAGGCCAGGCAAGGGAGGAGGTGGTGGCACGACAGTGGTCAAGTGCTTTGTCCACCATATATGGTGTCACAGGCTGAAAGAGATTGAGTCTCATCGGGCATCTATTTTTTTTTGTGTTATTATATGTGGTGCTGTTTATTTGTAAAATTTTTATGCTTATTGTATACTTTTTATGGAAGCTGCTCAGAGTGGTCAATCTGAACAGATGAGCGGGATATAAATCAAGTAAACAACAACAACAACAACAACAACAACAACAACAACAACAACAACAACAACAACAACAACAACAACAACAACAACAACAACAACAACAACAACAACAACAACAACAATGTCTTTCCACAACACGCCTGCCAACTTTGGTAAAGATTGGATATCGGACATCTGAGTTATTCACCCGCAAATTGAGTCCCCCCAGGAGAGTTTACCACACAGCACAGAAGCCCATTTTGCCTACCGGCAGCTGATCAACTGATCAGAAGCCATTAGGCAGCCACCACCCCCCACACACAGCCAGGCATCCCAACAGCCTACCCCACACCCCTTCCTTTCCCTACCTTAACCCCACCCCACTCCCACCGGCACCCCCTTACCTTAATAGCTGCTGCCGAGGTCTCCATCAGGCCCCCACAGCCACGGCATGTAAAAAGGGAAACTGGATGCCCTTTGCAAAGATGGCAGCTGCGGCTTCATTTAGGGTAGGGAAGTTGCAGCTGCCATCTTTGCAAAGGGATCCTGGATTTCCTTAAGGCAGGCTAAGGGAATCCAGATTTCCCTTTGCAAAGATGGCAGCTGGAGCTTTCCTACCCTAAATGAAGCTGCAGCCGTCATGTTTGCAAAGGGCAACCAGTCTCCATGCGGGGCTGCAAGGCCAGAAGACCTCAGCAGCAGCGATTAGGTTAAGAGGGTGTTGGTGGGGGTGGGGCGGGGCCTAAGGTAGGGAAAGGAGGGTAGGCTGTGGTATTGGGTGGCTGTGTGGAGTGTGGCTGATCAGTTGATCGGCGGCCGGTAGGCAGAATGGTATTTTTTTATATACGAAGGACGAATAAAAATGGGTAAATACGTATTCATCCCTTCATATTCATGGGGGTATCTGGAACCCACAAATACGGTTAGACGAATATTTAACAAATCGGCTATATTCGTCGGAAAAACTGATCCGTTTTTATATTTGTCCCTATCTCTAGAGGGGAGCTTTGATTATAATTCTTGCCTTTATTTGCTTGCTTTTCTTGGTTTTGAGGAGAGAGATGAGGCTGTATGTGATTTTTTAAATCCTTTTTTTACCCTGTGTGCATAGGGAGGGGAAAGTACTTTCCTTTTTAATTTTTTTTAAATTGTTATTACTTTACTGTGCATTCATTCTGTTAAAAGTGTATATTTTGGTGAGGTTTTGCTGAACCGTTTTTTTGTTTTGTTTTGTTTTGTTTATCTGGGTGTGCGAGAGGGGAACTCTGTGACTTGGCCAGACGCCACTGGACTGTGTAAGTGGCGGATGTTGCTGTTGAGTGGGCTCAGCTTGAATCATTTTTCTCTTATTGTTCTTGGTGGTGAGCTGTTGCTTCCTTTAGTGAGTGGGTGTCTCTGTGTGTCAGGCAGCTAGTGCATCCTTGCTTCCTTGTCTTTTTTCTATTGTGCTGTCCGGGCCCAGAGGGTCTGTTGTGCTGGCTGGGTTGCAATATACCATTTGCTTTTGGAGTAGATTGATTCTTTGTTATGTTGCCTCTGCTTTTTGGGGGAGTATTTTAAAACATTTTTCAGGGCTTTTGAGTACAAGAAATCTGGAACAAGGGAATCAAAAATAAACAGGAAACCTGAAGGAGGCTTTCCCTTTTGTGTAAAATGAAAGAATTAGGACATAAAAAACAGGAAAATGGAAGAGGTAGCCCTGAAAGAACCTGAAATGAATATATATAGAACACTTTTGCTGTGCACATCGCTGTGTGTTTCTCATTCTCTCAAAGTCATACTTAGAAAGTCTCAGAGGAGCAGTCACCTGAAAGAGTGGTGTCACTTGGATGCTAGTCATCTTCTAAGGTTCTTCCCTCTAGGTTCCCTCACCAAACAAAGTCAGGTAAATGGCTATTAGACACCACAACTTTTTGCCAGAGGCACAGAAGGGGTTATGGAATATCTTTTGATGAACGGTTTGCCCCTGAGGTCTCCACTGTAATCTTTTTCATACTATGTGAGGAACCTTTTATTCTTTGAAGCTTTTTAATAATTCACATCAACAATGTTTGTACTTTTTACATTCAGATGCCACGACACCTCTGCTATTGGTTTTATTCTGTGGGCTGTGGCTATTTTAATCTGTTTTACAGATTTTATATGTATGTTTTATCGTTATAAACAAAATGCACAAAACATTTTCACATTTCGATCTAAAAGATGACTGGTTGTTCTGCCATTATATGATGTTGCATGGAAAATGCAGATACTAGTTCTGACAAATTCCCAATTCCTCTCATAGAAACACAGAATAATGGAGTTAGAAGGGGCCGAGAGGGAGGCAATTAACACTAATTCAGCAGGTTCCCTGGAAAAAAGGCAGTGAATCCCTAACATTTCTCTGTGTTTGCTCAATGATGTTTCCCTCCTGAATAAGGTTGTTATGATAGATATCAAGAAAATAATGACGAAAGGGAGATTCTTCTCTTTGTGGAATATCTCACCTACTCTGTCTCAGAAACCTGTGACTTCAGTGTTTGAGTGGAATCTTACTTCCAGAATCCCAAAGAAGGATTATGA